ACGGAATTGTCAGAGTGAAGTTTGATGATTTTCTCCTTAATAAGCCCAGACCATGAGCCATTGCCTGTTCAAGAAGGATTAAAACAATTGTGTAGAAATCCTCTTCGTCCTGCATGGACCCTGGAATTTCTAACTGTTCTTATATGCATCCCATCCCTGAAGCAAGGCATTCGTGAAGAGATGGGGCTCTGGATGAGGTGGTGGTAGAGGAACCCATATCTTATTAGTGTCCTGACTTAACAACCCATCAAGAACAAAGAATGAACCCAACTAAGGAAACTGATGAAACCAGTGAATAGATGTTTATGATTTCTCGGTTGCATAAAAACCATGAAAAGGATCTCTTTTGCTTTCATTCCAAATGAGCAAGGGATTTGAGTGATACTCGGATTCCCAGAAGAAAATAAACCATCCGTGCAGTGGGAGAAGTGAGTAATAGTTTGGTGTCTTATTCCATAGCATTGAGCCATATGAGAGTCAGCTGAGCTCAACTGAGAGACAAAATGAAAATAAAAAAATACCCTAGTGATTACATATTAACTTGGAGCAAGAACAGGTGTCTCAGCCCTGAAAAGGAGGCTTGCCTTTGTTGTTTCTGAAAGTAGAATCAGCATGTGATGTTCTGACAATTGATGAGATGGTGTCAGCAGTAACTATTCATCCATCGAATGGTGTGTGCACAGTATGATGGAATGGAGGCGATGAGAGAAAAAAACTTGTATGATATGACAGAAACCATGTGAAGCTGATGCAAGTCCGAAGGTAAAAACCAGGAACTGCACAACAAATGCTGATAGTAATGGGACTCCACCACCATTGCAAAGTGCAGATAGGAGCTGACTACAACAAACTTGGACATCTACAATCCCAGTAAATAAAGTCAACTCAGATTGAGGAATGAGTAACTTGTGAACCTTGGAGAATCTAGGCATTGATATAGATGAGAAAGATCAATGACTGAACACCAATCTCCTGTCTGCGTAGGCCCAACAACAGACTAAAATGAAATATTGGAGGAACTAACACAACTCTTTCATTACCCCCAGATCAACCAAACTCTGATAGCTCTAGAACTAAGTTCCAAATTCTGAAAATGAGTGGGAGACAGAAACCCTACAGGTAGGTGGATCATAGTGGTGAGGATTTGAACTGAATGACTAATCCAACTCAAGGACCTGCAGTGTTCTAGGATCTGTGGTAAAGGTTATCACACGGTCAGAAATTCTAGGAGCTGAGCCCCCACAAACCCTGAAGGTATACAATAATTACTGACATCACTGGCGATCCAACGAAGCAGCAGAACAACTGAATACGGACAGAATCTATTCTGGGTACCAATGTACAGTGGGGCTGATGTTGGGGGCCAGGACCCACAAATAAGGGTAGAACTATAATCCCCTATAGGAGCCGATGAAATTCGAGACTAACAACATTGGAGGAATGTAGAAGCTGAAATCTGAACCAACATTCATGCTAACAATGAATCCAGCTCATCATCAATGAAGTTGGTGATCCTGAAAGTCTTTTAACAAAGTGAAGTGAAAGGAAAGCAAAATGTTGGATTTTAGAGTGTAAGTCCATAGACTTACCCTGTCCCATCAGGGGACACTGATATTTTCAGGTAAACTACAAACTCCGTCTTAGAACCCTGAAATTCAAGGAGCAGATGAACCATTTTAGAGTTTGAAAATACTTCCACCTGACGGTGGTAATCTAAATCATACAGCTCTGACAATGTGTTGGATAAAGAATAACTGTACCTTCACATAACTGAGAATTGAACCTTCTAGCATGAACCACAATATCCGTTGAAGGGAAAAAAAAATTTAAAATTTGCTCCCAGACTTTTCAGCCATCAAGTAAGGTGCAAGCTCAAAAGCAACCGAGAAAAAGCCCAAAACATCATACTCTCGAAGAACTACCAGAAGAAAACAAATTCTAAGCGGTTTATCCCAAAATGGCCTGCTTTTTTTTATAGGTTATGTAATGGCTGTGTTGATTACTGTTGATTGGAACAGTATTTTGTGAGGTAAATTTGTTTTGTTAGAGCAAAGCAATTTTGGGCTATCCCCCTTATCTATCCTAAGGAAGCAAACTCTGGACTCCAGGGCTGCAAGTCTGCAAACTCACCACTGTCCCACAGGAGTACTGAAAAGCCAGACTAAAAGAAGGCACAGGAAAAAGCGTATCTAAATTCTCTCCAGAATATCTAGGAATGCCCACAATTGCAGCCTCAGAGCCCCCCAGAGGACCATTTCAGAGCCAAATATATGTCTCCATCTCATTACAAATAAGAACACTGACAGTCTCAACTGAGAGTGACCACCCCCCAATTGTTGTGCAATGTTAGATATCACAGATAGGATAGGAGAGACTTGATCTGCTTCCATGCCAGAAATAATAATCTGGGAATTCATACTGTAAATTGCCTTGCCAATGAGAATTTAAAAAAAAATAATTTTTTTTGCATGCTTGTTGTTGTTGTCAACTGTTATTATGAAAATCAACTAGATAACACAGATAACTTTCAAAGTATCGCTGAACAATCATAACACTGGGAAACCTATTACTGATGCTTTGTCAAAAAAAGGTGAGATGCTTATATACAGTACCAGAATAGAGGGTGCAATGACATAGGTGGGAAAGATCACACGATAAATATTGGCAAGGGCAATTGAGTGGGGTATAAAAGGCTGGAGCATTAGAGAGGAGATAAGTATGTTTTGGAACTCAACATACTCAGTTTTATTACTTATTGAAATCCTCGTTTCATCAACATATTTCCTAAAACTGTCGCCAAAAACACAATTATTAACAGGCATAATCATGTTCAATGAGATGTCCCAGATAATTTCAACTTATGCAAAAATACCAATACATGCTCCTTACTCTACATTCTCTTTCCAACTCTAAAGAAATGATGGTTTCATCCATGTAAAATGCACAATATTAATACTCAAAAAAAAAAAGTTGACTTTAATTTTACTCCTGGTACAAAACTAGGCAATACTGTATCAAATAAATTCCAAAACAATAATATAAATAATGTTGTTTATGAATACATGGAGAGAACTCAATACCTGCCTAAACAAACACTATCACCTACTTACATTTTTCAACATAAACAGCACCTTCCCTTATTCATATAATTTCTAAGGAAAACAACTATTTCAAAAGAAAAATTAAGAATGTTCTACAAATAAGAAGTAAAAAAACCTCTATAAACAAATATCCTGGTTCTCATCTCTATTTATTCTCCAATGGTGTTTCAGCTGGTTCAAATAAACTTATATTTTCACTAACACCTATTTGTACATTGTAGCTGTTAATGGCAAGTAAACTTACCAAAATGTTACAATTTCTCTTTTGTAGAACTGTAGGAACATTTCCAAACAATTATTGAAAATTCTGAAATATATTCTTGTCAAGAAATTAAAAAACAACAACAAAATTCCATTAACAATTAACTTCAACCAAAGATATATTTAGACTAAAACATAAATGTTAGTTTTCTGTATAATAAATTTGATGTTTGTTGGAGTACTCATCGCTCATGAATATAATTATATTTCTTATGATCTTTACTGTGGATACTTGTATCTAATACATCGCCAATCTTAGCACTTATTATGAATTAATGTGAAGAAATTTAGTTACATTGTTCAGCTCATGTATTTGTAACTGTTGTGATAACTTCTCAAGTCTCTGTTAATCTTGGTAGGATTTCATTATAATCACACAAAGTTCTGATTGTATTTGTATTATATAAATTACAGCACCTTTCACACTTATACCTGTGAAAAATCATTTTGTACACAATTAATAGAATGCAGGATGGGAAAAATGTTCACAACCCCTTTTAAAACCAACAGAAATTTCCTAACATATGTCACTCTAACCTTAACTAGAAATTAACCTTACTTCACACAAAAAAAGGTTTAAGTCTGGGACTTCTCCTGGGATTTTATTTTCCATGGTACCTACAAGAAAAAGAAACACATCTAGAGATGTAACACACACAATTTTTAGCACTTTTTATTACCTCAAAATAGTACAAGCAATTACAAAATGAGTAAAACTTATTCATTTAACCTTATGTATGTGTGTAAGTCAAAGTGCATTTCACAACTTGTTTACAGTTACACTCAAAATTCAAATAAAGTACTATATTATCAGTGCATATCAGTAAACTTGGCATCAAAATATCGCTTATAATTCAAATTTTAATATTATATGCTTTCATTTCTTAATGTCAAATGGACATTTTTAAATAAATTCTCAATCTTCACACTTATGTATCACATAAGAATTCTTTGCTACAAATTACCCATTTTAAAATTTATTTCCACCCTATATTAATTTTTTATTTTCAAGGCCTACCACATTTATATGTTAGACATCTCTGAGTTGAAATGAACATTTATAGCCTCTATTCTTTTTTACTGTAAAGTTATATGCTATAAACTGAAACACATGTCATGCTCCTCCTTGCAAATACTGTTTTTTTTTCTTTTAAATTGTCAATAATTATTAATCTACTGCCTTTCTTATGATGCTAGCACATATTCGCAACCAGTTTTGAATTATTTTATATCAATTTTATAGTTTGCTATCACCAAGATCACCTTGAAAAGGTAAGGAAATTATTTTAATGCACATATAGCTTAGTTAGAAAGCCAGTTAAATTATTATAGTTTAGGACTGTTTTTTGTTATGTATTAATATTCGTGTTCTAAATTGCATATTCAAAAATAGGGTTAACTTTCATTAGACCTTGAGATGTAAAGAGCAAAAAAGTACAAAACCACATGTAATCATTAAATTTCTTGTTTTCTTATATAGATCTTTTACAAATTGTTATAAAAGTAGCAACTTATTTGGTTAGAAAAAGATTAAATGAAAAATTTAAGTAAAAATAATAATACTCTTATAATACATGTTGCAAGCACAGCATGATCTAAGTTGACCTAGCATAGTGGTAACTCAATGCTGAATTTACACAAAGCTTCCCCAAAGTGATAATTCACTTTGATGCTAAGCTAAGTGGTAGTAGATCAATAAATCTATGGACATTCTAAAAAGAAAAAAGGGTAGTTAAAATTTATTTTCATATTTTTTGAAGATGTTACAATATTGGTCAAATGGACCAAGCCTGTATAGTGTTAGGGTAGAGAAAATAACATATATAATATAAAGCTTTACAAAAAAAAAATCTTCAATATTCGTTTATAAAGTTATAGAGGTTATGCAAATGAAATATGAAAAACTATAAAATGAAAAAAAGTATTTTTAATCTTAACCTGAAAAACACCCTGAACTCAGACTGTGATTCCATAAATTCACAGAGAAATCTTTAGTGAAAATTCTTAATTAAAAATGAATCTGATTTTTTTGGTTTACAAAAGTTTTGTAATTTATTCTAAGAGCTTGCCAAATTTCATGAAAATATACTTACAACACTAAAATTATTAAATGATTCAGATTATTGAGAAAATGGCTTTTTGAATAAATCCGAACAACATAGCCGTGTTTTAATAATATAAATTTGAAGACATTTACATTTTAGGGCTTAGAGTACATTTTTCATCTTCTTGTTAAGAATATTTTTTGGAAACTATTTAACAAAAAATGTTTTTCAAAATGGAGAAGATAATTGCGACATCATGAAAATTTTTGAGATCAGTATCAAAATAAACCTTATGTCAAAGGATTTTTCATCTGTGTTTCATTTTCCAACTGTTGGTCATTTTGTATTTATGGCACCATAAACATGACCATATTCTAGAGTCAGAATAAAAAAAATATTTCTTAGGTTTGATAGTGTAAGAATTTTTATACTTTCAAATCCCATTGATTTGTGTTTGTTATCATCCTAAGAAATAAAAAAGAATAATAAGTTTTACATTTTATGAGTTCAGTTAAAAACTGTTTGGTAAAAACATAACCAGGGGGAAAAAATGCAAAAAGTGCCCAATCGTGTGACATGTTTACACATCAAATAAACTACATAAAACTTGGTGTTACCAAAAAAATCCTTTCCTAAAATAATCTTATCATTTTACGTAGTGAAATACAACAAACTTTTTACAAGTCCAAATGTCACAACCTTCCCCTACTCCAAAACAAATATATACGTAATGACATATCGGATTATACTTGATTATTTAAGTATCAATTTCTTAGTAAGACATTTTAAAGTCACTGTATTTTATTCTATTTATGAATGGTAAATGATGAAATAAAGCACGTGGTCTCTTCAAGATTGCCCACTAGATGACACTATTGCTGAAAGCAAACGTCAGGGTCTTACTCTAGAACAGAAGTTAACATTTTCCTCACTTGAAAATGTATTTCCAATAGATACTCTCCTCTTCACACCAGCTATCTATCCCATGGAGCTGCCTTAAGAGATTTATCATGAATTTTGCAACTGAATAATGACATCATTATGCTAAAAAAGCCCACCACCAATAGGAGGGCAACACACCTCTTAGCACACTAACTCCCTCTATGCTTTTGCACTTGTGAATCTTCATTCTTTGACAAGGCAAAGAATACTAAGGTGCACAAGAAGTAGGGAGGGAGGGTGGGAATCTGTGTAATAAGGTATTTATCAGAAACTCATTTTCAGGTAAGGAAAATGTTAACTTCTGAGACGATACACACTTCTTTACATAATTAACTATCTTGCTACAAGGGCAGTCAATTTGACCAACCTCGTAACAATTTTGTAGTCATTATAATTTCCATACTATAACTTTTAACTCTCAACACGGGCTCGGTCAATCTGATCAATTATGTGATCTCTTTGTACTTGTTTAAGTCTTTATAGATTTAATACTTCTAACTTTCAATGCAGTGTGTGAATCTTCACAAAATTTGGCAGTCTTTCAATTAATATTATAAGTCTTTCACATAAAAAAATCATATTTTTTAGTTAAGCATTTTAATAAAATAAAATAAAATTTGTTCATGAATATATTGAGTATTTGTTTTCAATAGGCCGTATGCAAAATAATTTTTATGTTAAAATTAAGAATACTTTTCCTCATCTCAAAAATCTCAAATTTCCTTTGTATAATCCCTAAAACCTAAATGCATTTCAAACTTTTTTCAGTAAAACTTTATAGTTTATCTGTTATTTTCTCTACCTTATCTTAAAATGTAATCGGTCAATTCGGCCGACCTCGTAACCACCAAAAAAATTTAAATAAGTCTAAATTACCCTTTTTTTCTTTCTAGAATGACTTCAAATTGTAACATGAAACTACATTCGTTTATCCTAAGTAGCTCTAAGTTTGTAAGAATATACATCTACATATCATTAAATTTTATTGTTTTATTGCCCATTGAACCATGTCTAACTACTATCCATGCCATTATAAGTTGTAAATCACTCGGGAAATTTGCAGCTCACATTATGCTAACAAATTACATTACCCAAGAGCTACTAGAAGCTGCTTGCATGTGTGCCTCATGAAATATTTTTATTATTTATTTTACCTAATTTATTCTTAACTAACCTAAAATGATCCCTACTTATAATTAAATTTTATTGTTTTATTGCCCAATGACCCATGTCTAATACTATCCATGCCATTATAAGTTGTAAATCACTCGGTGAATTTGCAGCTCACATTATGCTAACGAATTACATTACCCAAGAGCTACTAGAAGCTGCTTGCATGTGTGCCTCATGAAATATTTTTATTATTTATTTTACCTAATTTATTCTTAACTAATCTAAAAGGATCCCTACTTATAATTAAATTTTATTGTTTTATTGCCCATTGAACCATGTCTAACTACTATCCATGCCATTATA